GAATAGAATAGTATAGAATAGAATTCTTTATTGACCAAGCGTGATTGGACACACAAGGAATTTGTCTTTGGTGCATATGCTCTCAGTGTACATAAAGAAAAATAAAATGGAATACATTCATCAAGAATCATAAGATACAACACTTAGTGATAGTCATAGGTTACTAATAAGCAGTCAAATTATACTAGGAAACAAATAAATCAATATAAATTTTAAAGATACAAGCAATATGGTTATAGTCATAAGTGGGAAGAGAGTCTCCCTAATCTACATTCTTCATTTACCTTCAATTCATTTTCAATTCATACCTTTTGAATTATTCTTCCGATACGGAAGAATTTTGTATATACTTACAAGCAGGGATGTCAAACTTGTGGCTTGCAGGCCAGATGCATCATGCACTGGCCACGCCCACACCCAGTTCAGTGAAGGGGGGAAAAGTTGCGATACATCATGTGACGATGCTGTGATGATGCAAGTTTGACACCCCTGACTTACAGTAAATCGGAATCTGTGGTAACTAGGCTAAAAAACAAAGTACTTTCTCTTAGATTCGTTATGCAATAATACAAACAGCCGATTGCACAAAATCTATTCCAATTCTTTGAAATCTATGTATTCAAGAACTTACAAACAGTTTGCTGGGATGCCCAGTATTAATCAATGCGTCTGAAGAGCTGTTTGCTCCATCTTCATTCTCATGTAGCAGATCCTGAAGATCAGTTATACACTGTGCTCCGAGAAATACAGAGTCCTGAAAAAAATGAAATAGGCAAAAGAATGTTACATATACGCAAAAACCACCACCCTTATGTATGTACACTGGTTCAATAGTTGCAGTAAGAATTGAATACTTATTTATGATACAATCTGCTTGCTACCATTTGCTGCAATATTTATAAAGCTGCTATGTAGATTTGTCTGTTAATAATCCAATTTGCCTTGAATTCTTGAAATGAATGAAATGCCTTTTTGGGTAGGTATACAAACGCGCACAGTTAAACCTCTATTTTTTTTATTTTTGTGTGTGTGCCTACAAGTTATTCTTGACTGCTGGTAACTGCTTGGACTTGTCTCTTGGACTTGTCTCTACAGTTTTCTTGGCAAAACCTCAGAAGTGGTTTGCCACTGTCTAATTCATAGGGCTGAGAGATAACGACTGGGCCAAGTTCACCCATTTGGCTTTGTTCCTAAGACACAGGATTAGAATTCATAGTCTCCCAGTTTCTACCCTGGTGCTTTAACCACAACACCAAACTGGCTCTCTAAAGCCCTAACTACATAAGCGAAAACAAAACAAAAATCCAGCACTTTGTCCCCTTTCGTTTTGTTTCGATGTGTAAAATTGCAAGAAAAAGAGAGTGACAAAGATGATAATCAGACAGTGCATGTTAAAAAGCTGATAACCTGTCCTTTCAAAGACATTAAAGCCACAGAATTATTCAAATGCCTATTTCATTAGGCCAAAGCAAACACCCTGCCACCTCTAGCCTCATTTCACAAATCATTTAAATAAATACATTAATAATAATAATTTCTGAACTAGATACAAAAGGCACCAAATCAGAAGATGATAATGGTCAAGATCAGAGGTGTCAAATTCAACGCCTGTGGGCCAAATCTGGCTTGCAGGGCCATTCTGGAAACAACGAAGGACTAGCCTGCGGTGTCTCTGCCAGAAAAAAATGGAGTTCGGGAGGGCCGTGGGTGGCCCTCCTGAGCTCTGATTTGCTGGCAGAGGGTTGCAGGAGGCCATGACAGCTGAAAACAGAGCTCATGTGGGCTGCCCACTGCCCTCCCAAGTTTCATTTTCACTGGCAGAGGGTTGCAGGAGGTCCTCACAGCTGAAAACGGAGCTCACATGGGCCGCTCACAGACCTCCCAAGCTCCATTTTCACTGGGAGAGGGTTGCAGGAGGCCCTCACAGCCAAAACCAGAGCTCATGTGAGCTACCCGCAGCTCTTCTGAACTCTGTTTTTGATGGCAGAGGGCTGCAGGAGGCTGTCACAGCCAAAAATGGAGCTCATGTGGACTACCCATGGTCCTCCTGAGCTCTGTTGGCAGAGGGCAGGAGGCCGTTGCAGCCAAAAACGGAGCTCAGGAGCCCATTTTCACTGGCAAAGTGTTAGAGCCACCACAGCTGCCCACGACATGAGTTATGTCAAGCTGGCCACACCCACCTTGACCCCCGAGGTCAAACATAACCCTGATGTGGCCCTCAATGAAATTGAGTTTCACACCCCTGATCTAGACGAAGATCAATACATCTAGAAAACTTCTCACAGACACAGGGTAGGAATACAGGTAACAAAAGCAGGATAAAAAGAATGTTGTGAATAGATATTGCATCTATGTCAGCTTTTGATCCTGTTTTCCATATTTCTTTGCAGCTGGACTCCAGTTTGGTAACTCTGACTTCTGCAGAGGAGTCTTATCCAGAGCCTGCAAGGATGTGATTAGACTATGAAAATGATCTCTTGGATGAGACCTGAAGCATACAGTAGATCTATAAAGAAATTGACTGGAGATTTCAGATTTCAAATGGAAGATTATGTTTTTTCAATAGTACATTATCAGTAATAACTTATGTAATACATAATACATAAATCTGAAAACTTTCTCTGATTATATATTGTATCCACCATTCAGCATTCTCATACCACACAGGCCCAAAGATTTATGGTCTGACTTGCATATTAAAGTAAGCCATGAGTTACTTAACAATTGTTTGTAATAACTGAACAAACCATAATTGATTGCACAACAGATAGCCAAACTATTTTTAACAATGGCTTCAAATAGTGTACAAACAATATAATCCAGGGGTGGTTCCGGCTGGCTTTACTGCCGGTTCAGTCATCCGCGCACTGGATGCATGCTGCGCACACATGCATAGTTCAATTAAAATTGTTCTCTGCATGCGCAGAACTAAAAAACAAGATGGCGGCAGTGACGGCTGTGACTGAGGAACCAGTTTGGGGGTGTGGCAGGCCTGGGTTACTGCCGGTTCCAGTGACCCAGGCCGCCATACTACTACAGGTTCAGCCGAACCAGGCTGAACCGGTAGAAACCCACCGCTGATATAATCTAAAAGTGTGATTTGCCAGTAGACCTACTAAATGAAGTTTAAATCTTCACGTAATGGTTCGAGAATTCATTTCAAAATACTGTTTCTGACATTTTTAATATGGATTAAGAGGAGAGCTTCAGTATTTTCTTCCCGTCCATGAGATCAATTCAGGATTTGAATCAGGTTTGACCAGTCAAAATGTTGATTTGCAACTTGTGAACGGTGAGCAATATTGTTACATAACACTTACTTCTAAATGCTGAAGAGACAATGGAATGTTCTTCACACATAGTTTGACTGTCTTTTCTAAGCTTTTGAATAACTTCTCCTCTTTATTAAAAACTTCATCTTTCACCTAAAGCCACAAAAATATTATAGTTAGGATAAGACCGTAATTGCTAATAGTAATGTTGAAATGACTTGGAGTTTCTTTCCAGTGGTCTGTTGAGGCATAACAATAAATAACAGTTTAAGGGAATATTAAAATACCTTCACTGCCATTCTGGTTACATTTCTTTAATTTCAATCCTGTGGGGTCCTTGTTGCTCTCTGAGCTTGGTGTTCCTTGCAGACATTTTATTACCAACCTCAGCAGCATCAGCAGTGCCCTGAGTACGTTATCTAGTTTGGTAATGAAATGTCCGCAAGAAAGAACAAAAAAAAAAAAAAAGAAAGAAAGAAAGAAAAGAAAAGAACTCAACAAGAGACCAACAAGTATCCCACAGTTCACCTCACTGCTACAAATATTATCTTCCATCATTTTAAGGCCTCTTCATCATTATCCAACAATGAATATTGACATGTTTCATAGACAGGCATTTTTAACTTCCCCTCATTGTTGGGGGCAATAGAGTGACTCTGTAAACTGCTTTGAGAGGGCTGTAAAGCACTGTGAAGTGGTATATAAGTGCTATTACATGGGAAGCTTCATTGTGTTAGCTGCCTAGAGCTATTTAAGTGACATGGAAATTGTATACATCTAATAAATAAATACATGTATACATCTACTTAATAAATAAAAATATAAAAAATAAGGGAGGGTTTTCTGGGATTGTTTTCATTTCTTTCATGACAGGTGAGATCTTGAGGGAAGCATATAAAGTCATAATTTCTGTTTAAAAGATACTTAATTTAAGAATCTTGTGTCTTTGGGATCTTTGAAATAGTAATTTTGTGCTTTCAATGAGCAAATATGAAATTGGTAATTGAGTTTAGCCTTATCTAATCTGGCCATATTAGGTCATACATACACTCACAAACTTTTGGAATGCTTGCGATTCGTACACTATAAAATACATCTGTTAAAAGCTTTTATGGAAAACAAAATCCTACTAGGACTGATAGAATTTACTTTGCCAAACAGAAGAGGGTCAGTAATTGATTAAAGAAGTTAGAAGCTGCTGTAAATGTCAGCAATGGAAAATGTGACCTGAAGCAATAACTTAGAACCAGTGACGTGCGGTGAGGTTTATGGCTGGTGAGGCACTGATGTCACACACACACACACACACACACACACACACACACACACAGAGGCAGATGTCACACAAGGGCTCTCATCATGAGAGCGTTATCAAGCTGCACAGATATTTTTTTTGACCGTATCATTCCACACAGCTGATAAGAACTGGCACAGAATCAAGATCTACAAACTTTTATTGTCAGTTCAGATTTCTGAATTTCATTGTTAACAAGTAGGGCAGGCTGTGTTAGAGAATCAGAATGGCTGCCGCATGCTAATAAGTGTCGATACTGGCTGAGATGGAGAAGCAGTTAACTAAACTGAATGTAGTTTCCTCTATTTTTAGGCATTGATCCAAATGTGAACTAGTAAAGCTTTGAAATTAATTGAGCTGCCAATTACAATAACCTCATCTGAAGCCCCATTTTGTCTTTTGTACTGTGTGTTTGGAGTCCCATCTATGGCAGAAGATTTGACAGACTACTTTGTTTAGTTCTGGCTTTCATTAAAAGTAGTAAGCCACAGAAAAATGGAATTGCTTTTTTGTAGTCAGATGCATTCTCATCAATAAGTAGCCCATACTTATGAAGTCAGTCACAGGCCCTAACAAAATATATATTTCATGAGTAAGGTACTGGTTAGCACCACTTTGCTAAGGAAACTGGTTGGGATCAGAAAGCAACGAATTAAGCAAACAACTTGATCACAGTCGCTAATTTGTATATAGCAACTGCAGAATTGTGGCATATAAAAACATTCTCGTTAAAGTAAATTATGTGCTCCAGGTTTCCTAACACCTTGAGAAATGCATGGGCCATTGATAAAACCTGTTTTGGAATGGGCAAATAGTAAGAACATAATAGGAGGAAAAGGAAGGATACCCAATGAATGAAAATGCTTAGTACTCTGAACAATAACTCTCTTAAAAGCCTTGTAAAGCAATGGCTGGATTTACGTGATGCACTAAGCCAGGGGTGTCAAACTCAAGGCCCACAAGCCGGATCTGATCCAGGGAGCCGACCTGCAAATATCAAAGGACTAGCCCATGGTGCCTGTGGCAGCCAAAATGTTCTGGCCAGCAAAGTGCTGCAGGAGGCCATCCAGGCCAAAAAAGGGCCATGGGGGCCTCCATGCCCCACTTTCGCTGGCAGGATGCTATAGGAGGCATCCATCCCGTCTCCCTGCACTTGGCTGGCCCGCAGAGAATTACAATGCTAATCTGGCCCTCAAAGAAATCCAGTTTGACACCCCTGCACTAAGCCATAACAAAGTTGACTTAGTTGTGGCTTAAGCATGTTGCATGAAATCGGCCACTGTGGATTGCAAATTATTGATGTGAGTAAATCCAGCAAAGGTTTGATTACCCAAGAAATCACATCTAAATATGCCATAGTTTAGTATGATGTGCAAACACAATGAGTGATTACCTGAGGCTCTCCTCCTGTCAGAATCTTCAGGTGACCGGTCACTCTCTTGGACTTTTTACTAATTGAGTGAATATTTAACCTTGAAAATTTATCCTTCAAAGATTCATCTTCATCATTCTTCTTATACTTAAGCACTGTAATCAGACAAATCGCATTAAAAATAACAATGTACTGATAAGGCACCAGAGAAGTTCTATCTACTTTTTAAAAAATGCTCTCACAGATTACAGAAATAAAGAAACAGAGGCTACAATTTGTTCTACCGATGCAAAGAAGAGATAATTAAGTCCTGATGACCACATAAACTTTTTAAAAGTTTAATTTCACTAAATGTTACTGTCATTTTCAATAGCAGCCTTTATTCTATTTATTGCGAAATGCATAGATGCTTGAATTCTATAGCAATTATCATGTGTTTGCAAAGCAAAATTCTTAGTGAATCTATCAGGGAGAAGTTCAGATACAATAAGAAAAACATGCTTAATTTTATTTATATGCCTTAAGCAAATGCAAGCATCTTATACTAGAGCTGTAGCAATTTTTCAAATCTTCTCATGCAGTAAGATAAATAAAATGGGAACAAAATGTTCTAGGATTTAATGATTTTTTTCGTCTATGAATAAGCATATATTGCTCTTTATGAAGAACAATAGCCCAAGGAATTCCCATATAAAGAGATGAGAAACCCATGAAATCTAAATGCAGGGAATGTTTATCACTTTGAAGCTAGTAATTGTTGAAAACTGAATTGTGAACCAGATGAATATTGCTTTGATCCTACAAAGAATATGTAGGTGCTATAATATGTTTAAACATGCTATAATATGTTTAATGATCCAGTCAAATATCATGGCCATTGTCTATATTTCAACATCACAATAAACTATTTTCTCACAATATGAATTGGTTTAGCTTTTTTAAAGGGGTTATGGCCCCCTGACTATGTCTTCCTCAAGCTTAGCTCTTGGGAAGTGTTTTTATTGGACTCCCAGATAGCAATAGCAATAGCAGTTAGACTTATATACCNGTTAGAACAATTAATCAGTGGAACAGCTTCCCTCCAGAAGTTGTGAATGCCCCAACACTGGAAGTCTTTAAGAAGATGTTGGATAGCAATTTGTCTGAAACAGTATAGGGTTTCCTGCCTAGGCAGGGGGTTGATTAGAAGACCTCCAAGGTTCCTTCCGACTCTGTTATTGTATTGTATTGTATTGTATTGTATTGTATTGTATTGTATTGTATTGTAAGGTGAAATTGAACTTTGTATTTATGGCATACTGGCCAGAATACATGTAGTCCTTGACTTACAAAAGGTCATTTAGTGACCGTTCAAACTTACAACAGCAGTGAAAAAAGTGATTTATGACCATTTTTCGTACTTATGACCATTGTAGCATCCCCTTGGTCATGTGATCAAAATTCAGATGCTTGGCAACTGACTCATATTTATGACAGCTGGAGTTTCCCAGGGTTATGTGATCACCTTTTGCAAACTTCTGACAAACAAAGTGAATGAGCAAGCCAGATTCACTTAACAACCCTAACCCTAACTTAAAACTGCAATGATTCACTTAACCACTGTGGCAAGAAAACTCATAAAGTAGGACAGAACTCACTTGACAAATGTCTCACTTAGCGACATAAATTTTGGGCTCCATTGTGGTCGTACGTTAAAGACTACCTGTATATCCTAACTGATTAGTATCAGAGGTGGATTCTTACCAGTTCGCACCAGTTCGGTAGAGCTGGTAGTGGAACTGGTGAGTAGGTTGCTGAACCAATAGGGGCATGTTCACCATGCCTCCAAATCAGTTCCCGCGACATCTTTTTTGGACATTTTTTAATGTTCTGCGCATGTGCAGACCTATTTACAGGTAACTGCACACGAGTGCAGAGTGTATGCACTGAACCGGCAATAATGCTGGCAGAAACCCACCTCTGCTTAGTACCACCTTTACAATTAGTGGGGAGAGATACATGTGGCATAGAGAGAATTAAGGTTCGTATTCAACTTTAATCTTGCCTATCTTTCTAAAAAGTATTGTGTGAAAGTCTGAACTGAACCCTGGATGGCAGCAGAGATCAATATCTTTGGGATCCTATCATGAAAAGAATGTCACATGCAGAATTATAACTTAAAGTATGAGAGAATTAAGTGACAAAAAGGGAAGGAAGGAAGGAAGGAAGGAAGGAAGGAAGGAAGGAAGGAAGGAAGGAAGGAAGGAAGGAAGGAAGGAAGGAAATGTTCTATGTATCCAGGAAACTAAGAGAAAGGACAATGTAGCTGAATAAAGATAATCTGTTCTCATAGTGTTAGTGAAGACATCTCAGGATGTGAAATAGTAAAGCTATTTATAGCCTATATTTCCTAGTAATAAATGCCTGGTTATTATTATTTTTTAAATTTAATCTTCATGTTTGGAGAATCTTGCTAAATTCCTGGTTGTCTTGGGAGAATCAATTTAGATAATGAATAATAAGATGAAAACCTAATTCAAAAATACAGAATTTCCATGCCATAAGTTTAAGTTACAAATCTAGGGCTGAAGTTTCTGTTCAGGTATAAAATTTACTGGGTGAGTCACATTTTCTATTTTAATTTACCTTGCAAAGTTGTTGCAAGAATAAATATGGGGAAAGACATACTAGATTTTCTTCCTTTTGAAGACCACAGGGTAGATGGCTGACATGACTTTTAGCCTCAAAACAGGCATTTATGGTGCAGGGATGGGTTCCAGCTGCCCCTACTACTAGTTTGCTCAAGGCACATGAGCAGTACTAAAAAAAACCAAGATGGCACCGCCTATGGCACTGCCGAGAGACTCGGTTCATGGGCGTGGCTGGCCGAGTTACTACCTACTTGGCCAAACCAGTCCGAACCGGCAGGAACCCACCTCTGGTGTGGTGGGCCTATGCCTTGACTCAGAAAGTCAAGTTTGTGCTGAGCAAGATTTTTTTTTAATAGAATAGAATAGTATAGAATAGAATTCTTTATTGACCAAGCGTGATTGGACACACAAGGAATTTGTCTTTGGTGCATATGCTCTCAGTGTACATAAAGAAAAATACAGTGTAATACATTCATCGAGAATCATAAGATACAACACTTAGTGATAGTCATAGGTTACTAATAAGCAGTCAAATTATACTAGGAAACAAATAAATCAATATAAATTTTAAAGATACANCTGAACTGCAGATAGCAGTCAGCTGAATGGCCTGCAGTACTGCACTCTACCCACTGTGAAATTCCAACCAATGTGTTGATGGATAGAAACAGAGAGTTAGAGATAATGCTAATAATTTGCTGCCATCTAATAGTTGTTTAGATTTTTGCAGCCCTACTTTGTGGTCAGATTAAGTTCTGTGTATGGTGTCCAAATACAGAATATGCCTATCCAAAAATAAGCCAAAGTGTAGATTATTGTCATTAAATGTGTGCTGAATTTACAAATCATATTAATACAAATTGGGATTAATTTGATTTTAACTTACCATACCATATATGACATATGAATGGACACTATATGTGAAACCAGCCAATTGTAGGTTCTTCAATAGTTAAACAGATTAGGGCGCTTGTACAGGTAATACTCAGTTCAGGACCACAGTTGAGAGCAAAATTATAGTCATATGTCATTGTGGTCATTAAGCAAGATGCCCACCGAATTCCAGCAACCCCTACTGCAGTTGTTATTTTGGTGCATGTGGTGGTGCCTCAAATAGTGGGTGTGGCCCTGGATTGCTGAATGGTCATAAATCGAGGAGAACCTGTATAACATTTGGAAAGGTCTCTGAATCCTGATCTTATGTCTCGCTACATTTTGGGGCTTAATAAGTGGATGTTGATTCTTTCATATTTATTTCAGGAATGCTTTGTTCAAACCAAATGAATTTTAAAATTTAATGCTATGCTTAATTATTGTAGCTTGAATTTGACTTAAGTTCCTATCTGAATGCCTTTATTTCAACAATCTATCCTTCTGTAGGATGTATTACCTCTGCAAATGCATTTGGCATACTTTCCCTATGCAGAACAATCATTCTGAAATCAGACAAATACCGTATTAAAGTGACGGAATTACTTTCCTAAAATTAAAGATCCCATAACATAAGAATCCTATAGGAACAGGTCCACTGTCTTCAGATGTAGCATTCAGCTGGTTCAGACCAGTTCTAGCAAACTGGTAGTGGAAATTTTGAGTAGTTCAGAGAACTGGCAAATACCACCTCTGGTTGATCCCACCCTCCCGTTCCTGCCCTTCCTGTCCTATACTCCCTCGTTTTGTTTAGCTCAGCTGATTCACAGGGCAGAGTGAATTGTTTAGCTCAGCTGAGCTAAACAACAGCTCAGCTCACCAATGCTGACATCGAGGGAGGACTTTGAGTGCTGCGTGCATGGGAAGCATGTGAGTGCATGCAAAGCACTCTCTCATAGTACCGGTAGGAAAAGATTTGGAATCCCACTGCAGACAGTTTTTAATTCCAAATGCATTGCCCATATTAGTTATAAATCAGTGGTTCTCAACCTGTGGGTCGCAACCCCTTTTGGGGTTGAATGACTGTTTCACAGGGGTCGCTGAGACCAGCGCAACTCTAAAGTTTAGACTCCACCTTGGGTTCCTTGAAATCCCTGCGGATGGGCTCCAGAATGGCTGCGCAAAGCGTCACCGTGGCGCCACGCTGTAAAAAACATAGGTGAGCGCGCACACCCTGTACAATTAGCCCCGGAGACTTCGTAATGGAAGGAAAGTGTTCCTGCGAGGGAGGCTTAGGTCCTGCTCTGGGCTGTTAATGTGCGGGGCGTGCGCTCGGCTATGTTTTCCACGCCGCTGCGAGGTACTTTTAACTATATCTAAATCCACAACCAGAGCTGTCATCAAGAGCCAAGCTCAGGAGCCCGAATTGGCCCCCATTCACACAATGAAAATCTGCTTGCTAAAAGTACCATAAACCATGCAGAAAGGAAAAGAGCAAAAAAAAAAAATGCAATGCAAGTAAACAATTTTAAAAATGATACAAGTGGAATTATTATCAGAAATAAAATGTAACAGAGATGTATGAAAATATAAAGTTGGGTTTCCTGAAATGCCACCCCGAGAACCCATCAGAGAAAGTAAATAAGCAAGGGCAACAACTGAAAGGAGGAAAGATGAGGCGCGAAAGGAAGAAAGGGTAAAAGCAGAGAAAGCAAAGGAGGGGAAGTA